AAAGCAATCAGACTATTGGTTTTTTACAAGAAGTCGAAAATATCACTTTTTACCAAAAATTACAAAAATATTCACCAAAATTAGAGAATTGAAGATATCAACATGAAATGAACAAACCTAAGAGAGGTCTACCCAAGGTACATATTCACCAAGTATCAAAGCATTCAGGCTTGTAGTTTTCAAGAAGAAGTCGAAAAAGTAAAACATTGACACGGACGACGACGACAGACAATCAATCATATGATAAGCTCCGCTCGACAAAGTCGACAGCGGAGCTAAAAAGTAAAACATTGACACGGACGACGACGACAGACAATCACTCATATGATAAGCTCCGCTCGACAAAGTCGACAGCAGAGCTAAAAAAGGGTGGTGTCTTACCTTGCCTCGGGCTGGGTCAGCAAACCAAGACTGATGCGCTACGACGGGACCCAACCTAGAGAGACCTCTTTCAATGGATTTGGTGTCTTTTAGGTGGTAGTTGATGAAGACGTTCTGCGTTCTCCAGAAGCCTGCCCTCCATGTGTGCTCGAGGGGGGGGGGGCTGACGCTAGCACTAGCGAGTTAGCTATCGCACAGACCTCATGCGCTCGTACTTGGTGTCTCTGCAAGCTCTGTGCCGAGGAAGTTAAAGTATTATAAAAGTTGCAGTATCCTGCCTGCCTGGGCCATAACACAAAGATATGTGCCTGGCACCCCGTTCCAAATCCTTAGTACAATTTGGTTGTAACTCCGTGCTCGAACCAGGTAGAGAAGCAATTCCTCCTGACCCTCCGGGCAGACAAAATTTGACAGCCGGGGGATGACGATCGGGTGAGGATCGTGTCCTAGGATTTGGTTCAAGGCGAGAAACCCGATTCATGTGTTTAGCACAACTTGATTGTCTATAACGACAGTACATCATCCGAGAAGGACAATGCCCCCAGCTCTGGTCAACGCCTACCTGAGGCGAGGGCCAGTAGGAAGACTATTTTCCACGTCAAAAATTTGAGTGGTGCTGATTGGAGAGGCTCAAAGGGTGGTCTGCTTAGAGCAGACAACACAGCCGACGACTCCCAGGTGGGTGGCTCCCTTGTATGGGGTCTTGGCGTCTGGGAAACAGTAAATAGTCTCCTAATAATAGGACAATCGGCTAGTCTTGTTCCTGTACGTTTTAAGTGGTGGGGGACAAGACCGACCTGTAGCCAAGGATCGCTGAGTAGGTCAAACCCACTTCATCAAACAGGTGGACGAAGGAGCCTGCTACCTGGCCAATAGAGGAATGGTATGGATTAGTCTCCCTTCCGCTACACCTATCAGTGTATGCTTGCAGCCTAGAAATGTAGGCCGCATTGGTGGAATCCCTGTTCACCCTGGCCAGGATGTTGGCAGCCTGGTCAGATAAGGCTTTCGTATGTGCGGGTCTACTGAGACCCTCTATGCATGCTATGCATACCTGCTGGGCTCGTTGGTAGTGCGCCGTCTGGTTGGGATGACAGGTCCGGTAAGTCCGGAAGCACTGCTGGTGTTTCGACTGGCATTTCCAACAGAAGTGGAAACTAGGCCTTGCTTGGCCAAATGGGTGCGACCCATGATAATATGCGGGTGTGCACCTGTCGAAGTTTTCTCCGTTGCCCGGTGAACTAGCGGGAAGGGAGGAAATGCGTACACAACTAAGTGGATCCACGGGGTTAGCAAAGCGACCCTGGCCCAGGCTCCTGGAGATTTCAGCAGTATCCCGTAACAGGGTGTCACCACCTGGAAAGGTCCAGGGATCGGTCACTCGCTGTCTCCAAACTGGACTACACCGGCGCAATCTGTGTACATCAGGAATATGTGGCCATGGGTTCGGCAGTTGCGAGGAGGGAGGGGGGTTTGCTCCCTTCTCCCATGAGGTGAGTTCCCCAAGGCCTGAAGTAGTCGCTAAGTTGTGACCTGGCCACTCGCCGAGCACAAGTCTGTTCCCCTGGTTGCAGAGATGAGCATCAAACACGCTTCCCCTGCTGCCGGGTAGATGTCCGCCCAGGGAGGGCGAGAAGCCACCACCTGGCTCTTTCCTCCCTGGGGGCGCGCCACTACTCTTCCTTCCCATGGAAGGGTATGAGCGCTTACCTCCTGGCTGACTCTGGCTAGCGGACGACGCCCGAGGGCATTGTGTTTTCTGTGCTTGGGGTGCCCTTGGCAGGGCCAACTGACTAGCGGATTCGATCTGAACCCTCTGGTTAATTGCACTCCGAAGCTCCGAGACTGTACCCACCATTCCCTGCACAAAGAGGATGGAGGATGTCCAGTCTGCATCACTGAGGTGGGGACGTACCCCGACTCAGCTTGTCGGCGAAAACATGTGCGTCTAAGGCCGCGTCTCGTAGCACAGTAGTGGCCCCGGCCAAGAGAGGCAGGTGACACTAGGGGGTGTCGCAGGTAGATGTGCGGTGGCCCACCAGTAAAAATGTCGCCTGGTCTAGGAGGCTGGCGCGTTCTGCCTCAAAGGTCTCCAGAGTCCTGGGCACGCACAATGTGCTCAAGCAACTCTGCCCTCAGGGCTGGATGGGTCGTACTCGATTGGCAAGGACGCCCATGGAATGTGGCTGTCCCCCTTTGCCCGGTTTGCCAAATTCGTGGTACCGGGGTCTGGGGAAGGAGCCTTGGAATCCGGTTGGGGGCGTTTTGGTCTCATCCCACGCTATGGGGTCTGATCCCGAAACCACACCGACCGGGTAGCGTTTGGTTGGTTTGGAAGTGTTGCCTAATCTTATCCCCACTTGGGGGAGCTTAAGCGTTATATCCTTCGTGGCTGACCAATGTCGCCCATCAACACCGTTTGCGTGCTCTGCGCCCCACTCCGCACTCGGACGGACAGAGAGAGACGTGCTGACGGGGTTGCTTTGGATCCCGACGCCCGTGACCCCATAAGCGTTGAAGCAACCTTAGGTAGTCGCCTTAGGATCAAGGGTGGGATATCTACATCGTATCACTGGAATTGATGATACTCCGCATCACCCCAAAAGCGTGGCTCACCAAGTCATACGAATGGAAGACTCTGAGGTACCGCCCGGAATACCGGCTGTATCTGACGCGAGCGAACTGCGTTCTCCTTCACTTTAAATATGTGAGAGGGACCGTGTTTGACTGTGCGTCTCATGACAGGATCGGTTCCCTATGGGAACGAGATCGGAGGCTTGGCTGCCAGCACCCCTTTGGCATTCAGTGCCCGAGGCTCCAGAGGAGGCCCGGTGCAATTAGCCTGAGCCTCAGTCTCCCCCAAAAATAATGGGAGAGCCGCGGCTGTGAAAGGGGGTTCCCCGGAAGAGTAATGCAAACATGCTTTTGTGTTTCTTCCTGTTTGCCCACCGAAGGGACACAGTGGAGACAGCTTGCTCCGACTGCGTCTGATCTACCTGGCCTGCCAGGGACGCAATTGCCCCGACAGTCCTTCGACCAAAGCCCTCAACTTGGAGGCAAACCCGGCGCCGTGCTAGAAAGGGTTCACAGAGGGACCAGTAACGGGCCCCATAGGAGGAAAGCCTCCAGGGCACAGCCTCGCTGCAGCCAGTAAAATGGGGTAAACCATCGCCTGAAAAAACAGACTGTGAGGATGCCCTCCGATCAGTGGGGAAGACCGAGAAAAATATCGGTACCTCCACCATTGGGCCTCCTACTCGACGTCCCGGTACACAAAGCACCGGTAGTCGAGTGTGAGAACTTTCCACTCATGCAAAACACGCAACTCACTTTAACCGATTTGTTTACTGGACGCGCGACCTTGCTTTGACGCGATCAGTCTCAGCGATTTTGATGGCTCTGAAAGAAAATCTCAGGCCTCAGAACTCCAGTGAAAAAAACACACACCTTTATGCAAAAACCCCGAACCCCGAGCGCAGCTACGACAAAGTATCTCGGATACGGGTTCTATGCAGGTAAATTCTGAATATAACCACTGCACAATCGACTCGAAACACGAGGAGACCGAAAAGAAAACGGCAGCGAGCCCTGGTGCTGTCATTACATCTATAAATTGCTAAATACATTGTAAATAAAAGACGACATGCATGAGGGAAAAACGAAATACAGTTGTAAAAGGTGCCGCCGCGAAACCAGCAAGTGGTTACATAGTGGCGCCGGGTTTTAATCTCTTTGTTGTGAAAAATACTACACACAAAGGGGAAAACAACATGAGTGTAAAATTGACAAGAAAAACATATCCTACCAGCTACAATGCCAGATGCCATGCAGCGGCAACAACCCACGCTAGAAACCCGGACAGGAAAAAGCAACAGAGCCAGGCAGAGTCGCTCAGAATCATTCCCGACGAGACGGAGACGAAAGAAGAGTGATTGTACGGCTGCCTATGGCGCTGCCATGTGGCCTCGGTCACGTGGGTTTGTGATGTAAGGGGTAAAAGAATCTTGGGGTTATGGGGCTTCCCCTGACCTAGATTCTATCTCTCCGTCACTGGCAGAATCGCTGATTAATGCCTACAGTTCAAAATAGTCATTTTGACTGACCGGAGTCTATGGTGGGTAATTGAACGTAGTGAATTTACTTGTATATCACACTATGATGGGCTGTACACATCAAGTGAGTATATTTTGTTATCACACGTCTCTGTTTGATCCAAATCTTTCACTCTAGCCTGACGCCAAAATTAGAATACTATCATAATGGTAGTGTGATGGCTGTAACTGCATTAACTTGAATTACAGGTTAATTGGTCACTTTTGGAGATTTTAGTTGAAAAGTTAGAAACAAGAATAAAGTTTACTTACCTAGTGAATGTTTGTTGAACGCAGTGATCAGCTGGGGGCTGACAAGCGTTTCAAGTCGGTTCTTTAAAGTCTCAAGATACTGAGCCCTCTCTTCATAGTCCCCACAGTGAGCCAATAAACTCTAATAAACACAATTATATACTAATTTTCAGAAAAAACATCAATTATATCAACATATGTGCTGAATATTGCATTACAAAGGTGAGCTGATTATTTAAACAAACATCATCTGAGATCTATTTATTTAATATGCATATACACAAGTAGTTGTATGCTTGAGAAGGAGAAAATAAAAAAATAGCTAGTAAAAGTATTTCAAATATGCAAACAACATTCATGAGAAACATTTCACAGTTGAATATGACATGAATAGTCAATGTCAAACATGACAGCCAGCCCACTGTATACATATGTTATTAACAAATTCAACATAGTAACCAAGACGACCAAATAGTAACATAAGTTATACTTCAGTTCTTACCAGGCTGTGCTGCATTGCTAGTAACTTTTTGGCAATCTAAAAAAAATATGCAAACAGATAATAAAAAATAAGTAATGTATGACAAGAGTTTTGAAGATTTATTTGCAAAATGACAAAGTGAATGATGTCTATCACTGTACTATACTAGAACAGTATGTGTTATGGTCATCACAACATGACTTCAGGACTTTATCAAATGACATGTGTTAATACATAGAGAAAACACTTTCACAACTTAAGGTAGAGATGCAGTTTACCTGACAGGTATTTTAATTAGTTGATTAGGAAACCAAGATGACCTCCATTGTCCACAAAACTATATATTTTCGGAAAGCTTATTGTATGAATTTTAAAATGTTGTTATTATTTTTCTTTTATGGACACACTGTAGTTTGAAATATGCACAAAAATGTGCTTTTTTGGTCAAAAGTGATTTAAAAAAAATTAGCTTAGGGTCAAAGCGTCTAGGAGCTATTTTTTTTCAAAGTTCTGGGATGTGCACTGAAAAGAAGCTGAGATAATTGCTAATTTGCATAACAATTCATTCAGTAAGAAGTTTGCTCATGCTCATCATTAAAATGGCTGTAACTGTTCCAAATTTAAATGTATTATCGTTTTGTTAAAAGCTAACTATAGTGCATATTATGTGACATCAGATAATAACTCACAGCATGGACATCCTGTGATTGGAACAAGTCATCAATATCAGCCATCAATGTAGTCCAGTTATCTGCTTCCTGCAGAAAAACAAAAATCATAGAAAATTATAAATTACTGTAGGTTCAAAATAATAACTTTGTAAATTATATAAATTGGAATACTATATACTATACATACCTTGAGTGCACTTGAAGCTGACTGCATTCTAGATTTGATTACATCCAATTCTAATAACATCTGCATAGACTGAGCAGTGTCTTGTTCAACCTAATAACAAAATTATTCAACAAAGTCTTGATATGTTTTAAGTAATTATTTCATATCATTGTTTCAGTTAACCATGTTGACTGCAAGATCTCGTGTAATGCGCGAAAGTCTGGGATAAAAAAAATGTTTTTATAGTTTTTTTGTTATGTCGAAATGACTACACGTATATGTCGAAATGACTACACGTATATGTCGAAATGACTACACGTATATGACAAAATGACTACACATACATGTATATGCCGAAATGACTACACGTATATGCCGAAATGACTACACGTATATGTCGAAATGACTACACGTATATGACAAAATGAATACATGTATATGACAAAATGACTACACATAAATGTCGAACTGACTACACGTATATGTCGAACTGACTACACGTATATGTCAAAATGACTACCTGTATATGACGAAATGACTACACATATACATTGTGTATGTTGAAATGACTACATGTATATGTCGAAATGACTACATGTATATGTCGAAATGACTACATGTATATGTCGAAATGACAACATGTATATGTCGAAATGACTACCGGATATGTCGAAATGACTACACGTATATGTTGAAATGACTACACGTATACATTGTGTATGTTGAAATGACTACATGTATATGTCGAAATGACTACACGCATATGACGAAATGACTACACGTATATGACGAAATGAATACATGTATATGTCGAAATGACTACATGAATATGTCGAAATGACTACACGTATACATTGTGTATGTTGAAATGACTACACGTATACAGTACTCATTTCGCCCAACCTCCTGCCCGCTTCCGAGTTTCGATTGCTTTTTTTTCGCTTGCTTTGTTCAATTTGACCGGACAATTTCCGCTTTTACAGTTCATTACCTATTGTTTCATGTACAAGTGTGTCATTTTTGTTTTTATGATGTTAAAAGAAGAATAAATACAATCGGAAATTTATAGAACGGCCGTTGAAAAAATACGGTGGATCACACTGCCATATAAAATTGGTAACATACATAACAAACATGTGAAATCAAATACGACACTGACACAGACACAACTAATATAAAAAATAAAACTATCTATTTTTGGTGGAGAATGAAAAATGTCTACTGTAGAGTACGGTATTCGTCGAGTAACCGTGTGTAGAATGACGGTTGCCTTGCACGCATGGTTTGGGTTTAACGTGGGTCAAGTTGTAGTTATGTAAATCCATGGCACTTATAACAATATTGAAGAATATCTGCAGGAATAGTAAGACTGTGAAAAAAACGACCAATTGATTGTTATAGA